CAAAAGAAAACAAGTGGATGTTAAATTAGTTAATGTGTGGAAAGATAGCTTAAATAAGACCAATAAAATAAAGGGGGCAGAAAAATATGTGAGTGCCCCTAATTTTAAAAATATGGCTATAATTTCAGAGAAACTTGTTGCTATTCAATTAGAACCTGCTAAAGTGGTTTTAGATCGACCAATATACATTGGTTTTACAATATTGGAATTAGCAAAGTGTCATTTATATCAATTTCACTATTCTGTTATGAAGGAAATTTATAAAGAGGGCATAAACCTTTGTTATACTGATACTGATAGTCTCTTATATTTTATACATACTGATGATTTTTATAAAGACATGAAACTTAATATAAATTATTTCGATACTAGCAACTTTGAAGAAAATAATATATATGATATGTCGAAAGCGAATAAACAAATACCTGGCTATTTTAAGGATGAGATGGGTGGAGATGTCATTACTGAGTTTATTGGTTTGAGGGCTAAATTATACTGTATAAATAGTTTAAACAATACAATTAGTGTGTGGAATTTGTAATTATTGTATTTTGTAATGGATTTTGTGGAATGAATGAATGAATGAATTTTGTGGAATTTTGTAATTATTGTCTTATATTTATTCTACGTTTATATTTTAATACTTACGTTTTTATATTGCTATTCAATTTACACTAGACCTAATAGTATACATTTATTCTTCAGTTTTACGATACAGGAGATATATTTTTATATTCTATATGCCACCAATGACTTCATCTACCGATGACAGCGACACTGACGATTATTTCTCGGTATCTAGTGGTGACGCCAGTTACATAAGCATTCCTTCACTAGCGGATACAATCTCGGCTCAGTTTTCTGATGTACCCGGGAACTTCAATGTCGTTCACATAAATGCGCAAAGCATTCCGGCACACTTCAGTGATATGCTAACTAGCTTAAACTGTACGAACATACACGCCATCCTTATATCGGAATCTTGGCTAAAGCCATGCCTATCTACCACAACGTACACGCTGCCCGGCTTTCAGTTGGTGCGGAATGATCGTGTGTGTGGACGAGGCGGTGGTGTTGCCATATATATCCGAACCCACATCCCTTTTTCCATTATTAGTATGTCATCTCAACCACCCCCTGCAAATGCTGGCGAGCATATTTTCATGGAAGTCATACTTCAACACTCAAAGATACTTCTCGGTGTCTACTATAGCCCCTCCTTGCAAGTAAATTATTTCTCTTCACTGGAAATAATTTTAGAAAATTTGACACCTTCGTACAGTCATACCATAGTAATGGGTGACTTTAACACCTGTCTGCTTAAGAACGATTCTCGCTCTTCCTCCCTTCGGTCTGTTTTGGAATCTAACAACCTTTCTATTCTTCCACTTAATCCTACACACAATATGCCAAACCGCAACCCTTCTCTCCTTGATCTCATCCTTGTCTCTTCAGCAGAACACGTGGCTAAACATGGTCAGTGCTCAGCTGACTCGTTTTCCTATCACGACCTTCTCTTCCTGTCCTATAAAACTCGTACTCCTAAAGCAAAATCCAAAACACTTTTACTTCGTAATTTTCGGGGTATGAATCTTGATGATCTTCGCGGAGATGCCGATAGCATCGATTGGAGTATGCTTTTCAACTCGCGATGCATTGACGAAAAAGTTACTTACTTCACGGAAAAATTGATTGCTTTATACGACAAACACGCACCTTTTTGTCTTATTAGGGTACGACATCGACCAGCACCTTGGTTGACAGATGAAATCAAAGAGTTGCAGAGAAAGAAGGAGAGGGCTCATTCCAAGTACAAGCGTCACTCTAGTACCTCAAATTGGGATAAATTTGTCCTTATTAGAAATCACTGTAATAAGGTGTGTAGAAATGCACAACGCCGACACATTCACAAATCTATTGAAAACGGTGATCCAGCTAAAGTCTGGAAATTTCTCAAGTCATTAGGGGTCGGTAAATCACACTCAGATTCTGCTTCTAAAAATGTTGATATCAATTCCCTAAATACACATTTTTCTGCTCCTACCAATTTTGGAGGGACTACCAAAACTACTACTTTAAATTATCTTTCATCTCTGCCGACTCCTAACTGCCCTTCGTTTGTTTTTAGTCAATTTTCTGCTTGTGATGTCAAGAAGAGCGTAATATCTATAACTTCTAATGCAGTAGGAACCGACAACATCAGCCGTAATATGGTACTTCCTATCCTAGATGAAATTCTACCTGTGATTTGTCATATCCTTAACTATTCCTTATCCAATAGTGTTTTTCCATCTGCATGGAAAAGTTCTCAAATTATTCCTCTCCCTAAAAAAAGTAATCCTTCCTCTCTTTCAGACTATCGTCCAATATCCATTCTTCCCTTTTTCTCTAAAGTCCTCGAACGTCTTATCTACACGCAGCTTAATTCATTTCTTACAAAAAATTGTCTCCTAAATCCTCTCCAATCAGGCTTTCGTTCCGGCCACAGTACTACCACAGCTCTTATTCATATTACGGAGGATATCAGGTCCAACATGGAGGAAGGAAAGTTAACGGTCCTTGCCTTGCTTGATTTCAGTAACGCTTTCAACACCGTTGATTTTGATATCTTGCTCGGAATATTGCGCTCTCTTAACATATCTCCAACAGCAATTGACTGGTTTCATAGCTACCTGTACGGTCGTCAGCAGCGTGCTTGTATTGAAAATAATTATTCCTCTTGGTGCACAACATCTGCGGGCGTACCTCAGGGCGGCGTGCTATCCCCATTACTCTTCGCAGTGTTTATCAACTCCATCACTGATCGCTTACTTTCTTCCTACCACCTTTATGCAGATGATCTTCAAATTTACACTAAAGCTTCTCCAGCTGTACTATCTGAAGCTATCAATGACATTAACAGGGATCTGATACAAATATGTAAATGGAGTAAGGAGTATGGCCTAAAAGTAAATCCATCAAAAACTCATGTAATTGTATTAGGTAGTCCTAGGATGAGCTCCGCAGTAAACTGGCAACAACTGCCAGCTATCTGTTGCGATGGGTCCATTATTCCGTTTAGCGACAAAGCCAAGAACTTGGGAATCTATATGGATAAGTTCTTGTCCTGGGCCCCCCAGATTGGTGAGGTCAGTCGTAAATTATTTGCTGCAGCGGGATCTCTGCGAAGACTTCGTAACTTTCTTCCTACCGATACAAAAATCTTCCTAGCACAATCTCTCCGAAGACCAATTAAATAAACTTGAGCGTCTCCAAAATGTCTGCATCAGATTCATATTCGGCTTGCGCAAATATGATCATATTTCTGAGTATCGAATTAAGCTCAAATGGTTACCTATACGCCTTCGCCGGAATGTACATATTCTTTCTATTCTATACAGTACTCTGTTCCTCCCACATACTCCAACTTATCTCAAAGAACGCTTTGAGTTTTTACATAATTCACATTGCAGGTCCTTGAGATCGTCAGAGAATCTGAAGTTAAAAATGCCCAGGCACACCACACAATTTACTGACAAATCGTTCTCAGTGCAAGCAGTTCGACTGTGGAATAATCTACCGGAAGTAATTAGGCAAGCCAAATCACTGCAAACATTTAAAAAGCTAGTCACAAATCATTACTTGGCATCATAGAGGAATTTGTGTATTTATGTAACTCTGCTTGTATGTTTTTATATAAGTTGTATGTATTTAAATATATAATATACTGTAAACGTATATATTAGTAACCTTGTGTTTCTTATATATATTATTATATATATTATTTAGTATAGTATTTATATTATATATTATTTAGTATTTTTTATTTAGTTTTTCAATTTGTTGTAATTGTACATCCCAGGCTACCCTAATTTTGTTGACAATATCCGTATAAAGGTTGTCTGTAAGAGATCGCCGTGAGCGATAAGACCGCCTATTGTTATACCGAAATGTATTTAATATCTGTATATATAATACTTACATGGTGTACAATAAAGAGATAAATAAATAAATAAATAAATAAATAAATTAGCTAAAGGAGTTAAAAAGCCTGTTTCTAATCAGCTCACAATTGAAAAATATAAAAATACTTTGAATAATGATATAAATCTTAGAGATACTATGTATGTCATTCGATCTAAAATCATAAATTGTATACACAGAAAATTAATAAATTAGTACTTAATGGAAATGATGACAAACGTCAAATTAAAAGAAATAAAATGTATACTGTGCCTTGAGGTCATCATCGTACTATGTTTTAAGCTGTTATTTGACTATGTAACTACCTAATTTTATTATCTACTATTTACTTTCTTTTATGTTTATAATGTTACTATCGTATTAACAATAAAATGTCATGAATTAATTATAATATTTCTTGTTTTATTTTTTTATTTTATCCCTCCCCTGTGTAATAAATATACCCATTTGTCTAAAGTATCTATAACCTGAGTTTGAGTTAAAATTTCCGGCTCTGTCATGTCAAATAAATGTTCTAACTTTTTTTCTCTGAAATCTTTAGTTAGCTTATTATTTTATCAGAAGTAATGACGCCATGAATCACATGACGCCAACTTTTATTTAACATTAACAGGGAATAGAGATTAAAATAAAAATATTTCATATGTTTATAACTATTTATTAATAATCAATCTACTCACTATTCATAATAATACATACAAATACATGACAATACACTCACGATATCTTAGATAAATATTAATAATTAAATTACAAAAAAAAAACACTTCTTAAGACTTTTAAAGAATTATGCTCGCTTAATTTTTTAACTATCTTACAAACTAAATATTCAGTATCTTGCATAATATCATCATAGTCACTTCTTATTATATATTGTACATTTATACTTGCACTATTGGTATCACCGCAGTTTATTTCACGGCTATCATTAACATCCAAATCATATATCATAATTTTAACAATGTGAGGAGCGCGTCCTGTGTCTCTTTTTATGATATAAGACATGTTTTCCAAAGATTTAGACTTGTTCTTTTTCTTCAAAGTTCCTTTTGTGTATTTGTCCGACTCTCCTCACAGACCTTTGCTGCTACTTCACTGTACCACCTCTCTCTATCTTGAGCATAATAAAAAGGATTTGTGATCGGGTTATCGTCTTCTATCAAGTTCTGAAAGAATATGATAGAAGACGATATTAAATAAAACATGAATGGTGAAGTGAATAAAACGTATATGAGTATAAATTTAAAAACCAGTTACTAACTTCATGTGAATTAGCTGGTTCTCGATGTTCATCAGCAGCTGGAATTCGGCTAATGTCTTCCACATTCAAAATAGGGTATTGTGGGAATGACATGATTCTGTAATAAAACAAATAATACATAAAATGGAATTAAATAAGTAAATATCAGTAAGGATAAAGAAAATACTTACATTCGGAATATTATATTGAATGGACGTCTACCACATGGAAAGGGCTAAAGCAACTGATTTAATAAACAGTTATTGCATACACATTGCATAATGTTGGTATTCTAATTATAATTATGATCTCAAATTAATTATAATATTAGACAAGTTCAAACCTGTTAAATTTTCGAGTCATTACCTAGCCCATATTTATACATACCTATCTTGTAAAATGAGAATAGAACCGTTCCTGTAGTGATAAGTCTAATGATAGTCCAAAATAAAGTATACTTATATATGTCTATGTTACGCAATAATTAAATTAATTGACAAGATGAAGTTGATCAAATAACCCATATCACTAAACGTTAAAAATATAAATATTGGTGAATCTCCTCAAAAGATTAGACATAGCGCTTTGTTGCCAAATACGATCCGTTGTATTATTTGTGGTCCCTTAAATTGTGGTAAAACAAACGTTGTGATCAGTTTGTTATTGCATGAAAATGGGCTCAAATTTCAAAACCTATATCTTTACTCGAAGATAAATTTTCAGCCAAAATACAGTTTGTTACGAAAAGTCTGAAGGAACTCTTCCTCAGATTAAGTTTTATGAGTTCAGTGATGATAAAGATGTTATAGCACCGAGTGAAGCTTTAACAAATTCTATATTCATTTTTGATGATGTTGCTTGCGAAAATCAAATTAACATTCGTAATTATTTCTCCATGGGTAGACATAATCAGATAGATTGCTTTTATTTATCTCAAACCTACTCAAAAATTCCGAAACAGCTGCTAGTGAAGCATATTTACGAATAACATGTGAATTCTGATATGTCGTGGAATCAATTAAAAAATGTTTGTAATACAGTTTGAAGTAATCCATATAATTTCGTTTGCATTAGCAAAGACTCATCATTGAACAGCGGAAGGTACAGACAAAATTTCGTTTTTTTTTTTCTTATTGAATGAAAATATATAAATGAACTTCATTCATAAAAATATATTCAGTGTTACTAATCCCTTGGTTGAATACAGTATTAAGAAATAATATGGCTAATATTAAAACTGAATTAATTAAATCTGCGGACTCCATAAAAAATAAATTAAACCAAATGAAAAATCAGGAACATGAAATTAACTTATCGCTTGATGAAATACTAAAATCTGTCACAGACCCTCTTAAAATATTAGTTTACTCAAAAAAAGCTAAAGAAAATATTCGACCCGCAGAAAATTTGTCATACGCAAATTCTGAAGCAATCGAATCGGATGAAAATAATGCGAGTTCTTCTACTAAGTGCGACGACTTTTATGATGCCAATATAAATTTTACAGAATGTCCTAAAAACGAAGACAATTTAGAACTTTCATTAGAACGTGACGATATCTATGATATTTATGTAGGGTTAAATGTACCATTTGGAATAAGAAAAGAAAATAAAACCTTAATGATGGGTAGTTCGGTAGTAACACTTTCTAAAAGTTTGGATCAAGAAAATATGTTTTTTTATTAGAATCGGGGATAAAACTTATAATTTAACGCCCGGGTTAGAAGAACTTTTATTTCGAAGAAAACCGGATTTAAAGTCAATATCAAATAAAGATAAACTTGTCTATAAAGATATGTTACAACATACTAATGTCCATTAGAGATATTTTAACCCTAAAGGTCAGTTAAGAGGTGACAAAGGAATTAAGTATTGTGAAATTATTAAGCCATTATTTTCCGAGACTTCAAACGACAAATTCCTAAAACTGGGGGTCTATTCCTAAAACTAGTCTACCAAAACTCAAAAAATACAAAACTTCCACTGATTTAGTATATTGGGACGATCCCAATGAATTGGTTGAGAGATTAAAATTATTAGTAGCTTCAAGAAATGCTGGCAATTCAAACCATGATAATGAAATTTTATCCAAAATCGAGGAATTGAAAGAAGCTAATATAATTAAGGAATAAATGCTATGTATAATAGAGCTTCGTTTCAGTATCATATAGTTAATCATACTGAACATTGGCAAACATAGAAAAAATATAAATATGAGCAAAGTTGATGTGGTAAATGAAATTCATAAAAATTCTATGGTGAACTTTCAACGAAGAAATGTTATTATGAAAGATATAGATGATCTATGGCAAGCAGATTTAATTGATATGCAATCAGTTTTTAAAGAAACTAAAACTTTAGATTTATTCTTGCAATTATTGATACATTTTGGAAATACGCATTTCCTTTGAAAACAAAAATAAAGACATTGTATGTAACACTTTTAAGATTTTGCTGGATAAAGAGCGTGTCCCTAAAAATATACAAACTGATAATGGGACAGAATTTTATAATAATAAATTTAAAAATCTTATGAAATCATATTGATCATTATTCAACATTCTCCACTAAAAATGCTTCAATAGTCGAAAGATTTATTAGAAGATTGAAATCTAAATTGTATAAAGAATTTAGTTTACAAGGTTATTATAATTGGATAAATAACACCCTCTGCAATGTTATTTATAAATACAATTACACATACCATCGTACTATTGATGAAATTTCGGCAAATGTTGATAATATGAATAAAAAACGCATATTACAAAGATATCTAATGTTGGTAAAAAAAGTTAATGTAAAGAGTAAGTTTAAATTGGGTGATTATGTGCGTAAAAACTACGCAGAACAAGAGCACTGCAAAGAGAAGGAAAACTTGATACAAACCCTATACCAACCCGTCTGGCCATCGTGGTATAGTAGGCCAAAACCTACTTTCTGAGGAGAGGCTTATGTCCAGCAGTGGACTGTCAAAGGCTGTTGATGATGTGCGTATTAGTAAGTACAAAGGAACATTTGAAAAAGGATATATTCCCAATTGGTCGACAGAAATATTAAGAATTCGAAAAATACAAAACACACCTCCAGTCACTTATTTAATTGAAGATACAATTAAAGGTCAACGAATTTTAGGAACATTTTATGCGCAAGAACTTCAGAAGACGAAACATCCTGATGTATACTTAGTTGAAAAAGTTCTATAAAGGAACAAGGTTTTAGTAAAATGGTTAGGTTTGCCCTCTGCTGAAAATAGTTGCATTGATAAGTCGAACATATTATAATAAAACATATTTATTAAGTATTCAAACCATTATTGATCAGTCTTATGATGTGTATTCGAGAGAACGGTCTTCTCAATTTGCTAATAAATAATTTACCATTTGAATTACATTTACCAGGATACAACTATTGCGGTCCTGGCACAAAATTAATTAAGAGAATTAAACGCGGAGATAAAGGTGTTAATAAATTAGACGAACATTGTAAAGAGCACGTCAATGCTTATCTTAGATCATCAAACTTAAAAGATAGGCATAAAGCAGATTTAGTATTGTTGAAAATGGCAAAAAAGCGTTCAGTTGCCTCTGATGCGAGTTTAGGGGAAAAATTTGCAGCACATCTAGTAAGCAAAGCTATGTTAACAAAAATAAAAACAGGTGCAGGCCTAAAAAGTCATAACTGTAAAAAAAAGTCTTCAAAAAGAGCTAAATTTGGCAGCGTCTTAAAAAATAAATTGACGAATGTAATTACTAAAACGATAAAACATATACAAAAACTAAAACCAAAATGTAAGAAAACGGCAATAGAATTAGCTAGCCGCTGCTAGAGAATTAGTTGATAATTCATGCATAAAACTTCCCCGTATTATTCCAATACCAAAAACTGGCGGAGTATTACCTTTAATTCCTATTTTTGCGGGACTATCAGCCGCTGGAGCCTTAGCAGGTGGTGCATCTGGTATTGCTAAAACTATTAATGAATTTTAGACGGCCAAAAAGCGTTTTGCTGAACTGAAAAGGCATAATGAAAAAATGGAAGCTCTTTGCATCGGAAAGGGATTACATCTTAAACCGCATAAAGATGGACTTGGAATTTATGTATCGAAAGAAAAAAACTAAAGTATCGGCTACCCAATCGAGCCTTAACTAATTTAGACATTTTAAAATATGGAAATAACATTCCCTATTTTCGAGGTGTCTTTATGAGAGATGAACTCCCAAAACGACCCTTTCAAAAAGAATGCGGAATTATTAATTTAGATAGTTCTAAAATCCCCGGTTCTCATTGGGTAGCCTATGTAAAATATAATGATTATATAGAATATTTTGACAGTTACGGCAACCTTAAACCCCCGAAGGAATTTATAAGATACTTAGGTTCTAAAGTTCATTATAACTATAATAATATACAATGTGACCATCCATTTAATTGTGGACATCTATGTTTAAAGTTTTTAAACAATTTTTGGCGTGGTCAAAGAATAAAATAAACAAGACCTTTCATACTAGTTCAGTATGTAAGCATGACTCTAACGGTTACCATCTCTGGAAATATAAACTTTAAAGAAAAACATATTTAACTACGTTGCATTTAACAAAAAACGATATGATTTTGTATTATAAAAACCCTATAATCAATATAAAGCGCCTTACTTCTTCTAAGACATTCAAAGAGCAATGACGTAAGAAAAAATTAAAAAACTTGACGAAGTCGAATAAAGATTTTCTTAAAGCCCTAGGTTTCATACTATGAATATACTACAGGTTGGCGAATTACCCCACTTCGATACTTCGATTGAAAGTTATCAAATCCATTCTCACAATCCCTACAACAATAGCTTCAGAGAAAACGATGAAATCAGAATCCCCATACACCAGCAAGACATATATGCGCTACCATCAGCCAGTTCAATTTACATCGAATGTGAGGCGAAACTCTTCGGTAAAGACGGGAAACCGCTTAAGAAAAGTGGTATGTTCACTAATAACTTTGTTATGTATTTGTTTCAAGACATCAGGTACGAAATGAATGGTATTGAAATAGATCGTATTAAAAATTCAGGTATAACGTCAACCATAAAATCATACATTTCATTAAATGAAGGAGAAAATAAAGTTG